GCAGAATTGAATCTCGAGAAAGCGGAAATGAGAAGTCATTCTGTGCTTGCCCTCGAGAGATCTGCAACTCGATTTGATGATTCTAAGAAAACCGTTGCATCCTAAAGCGTGTTATACAATATAAAATTACTCACCTGAGTTTTCTCGATTATTAGCATTTTTGCCTTTCAATTTTAAACTTCAGTTAACTTTCAAAAAGTTATTTTTTTTGTTTGTTTATTTTAGTGCTTATTCATTCTTTTTGATTCCGATATATCCAACATCATATATCAACAGTTTCATTGCTTTTTAAGAAATGCTTTTATTGAAATTTGTTTGGTGGTATATACAGGGTGACTGCTAATTAATGGTACACACTTTGAGGGCTGGTACAGGATACTGTAACAATCACATCATTTTGTACAGGAATGTATGGTCAAAAGTGAAGCGTCGAAGCTCAAACACAGGAATAAATGATAGGGAAAGTGTTTTATTTTTCATAACCTCGTTTACAACTGGAAATTAATTTACAAAATGTAATTAATTTACAAAATTAATTAAAAATTAAAAATTAATTACAATTAATTTACAAAATGTGATTGTTATAGTGTCTTGTACTAACCCTCAAATTTTGTACCATGAATTAGCAGTTACCCTGTTTAAGTTAAGCAGCATTCATCTTCTCTACATATAATAAAAGAAAGATTCTGTCTGTGTGTGTGTCTTTCGTTCGCGCTGCACGTAAGCTAATAGACATGGCTACGAAATTTGGTACATAGATACATCTAGACAAGAGCCAGTGCACCTCGAAGCGATTTTTTCGAAATTCGAATTCGAATTTTTTTATTTACGTTTTGTGACGAAATCGCGTCATTTTGAGACATAATGGGCTATAGGAAAGCGAGATTTTACTCTACACACTCCATTTTCACATCGTCATGAAACGTAGGCACTTAGCTATTTTACGAACTTAAAATAAATTTCGTGTTTAACTAAATCGATTGAATACGAATTTATTTAACAAACGGAGCTTAACAACTTTTCAACGGCATTTTTTCTAAAAAAGTTTATTTTTAAAAATGTGCAGTTTATTTTTCTTAGATTTTTGGACACGTTAAAGTTTCATCTTTGAGACTGCTTTTCCAAAAAGAATTTTGGAAAAATGATAATATTTTGTATTTTAAAAAAAAATTTTAAATGAAGCTTCCAAGTACACTTCTCACATCTCACATCTTTAAAATGTGATTTTGGCAACAATTTTCTTTTCTTATTGTTGTTGATAAACTTTTGATGAAATCGCATCATTTTGAATAGTTTCATTCTTTTAGAAATATGGGTTTGGCAACAATCGTTGTATTTCTTATGTCACTGTTTTTAAGAGATTGGCATATTTCATTCTCATTTTTAGTTCCTTGTACAAAGTAAAAAGGAAGTATTGTAATCGCGAAAAGTTTCAGGCAACATATTTCAACGAAAATATCCATTTTGACCGCTATCGAACGCAATTTAACGATATTTTTGGGTGATATCTGTACGTAAGAACAGAATAAAAGACTCGTTTTCTCCAAAAAAATTATAAAACTGCTTTAAAATGAATTCTGAAGAGAAATTTTCGTGGCGTCTGTACGAACGTATGTACGTACAGACATACGTTCTATAAAATTATATTACAAACCGCTTATTAAATTTTAATTTATCTCTTTACATTTTATTTAATTTTAATTTTAATTATTTAATTACTTTGATCTTTAATTATTTAAATATTTTAATAAGAAGAATTAATTTTTATTAATTAAATAATAACCATGAATTAAATAATAATTGACCGATATTAATTATTAATTAATTTCGTAATAATCAACTATTTAATTTTTAAATTATTAATTATTTTAATAATTATTTTATATATTTATTTACTTTTATTCTTCTCTGTTGACGGTTTTCCAGAGGGCTCCGGCACTTCTGATTTTAGAAATTAAGCCGCATGGAAGTATTTTGAAGTAAAACATTAAATCATAAACACACGGTAATATATTTTTACATAACAAGAGGGATGTCTTTTCTACAGTGAGAAGGAAGGCCAATATTTCTTGCAAATCAACACGCCCGGACAGGAGAGCTAATCATTACATTAATATAAACAAAGTTCATTTGAACAGAACAACCCAAATATCCTAATCTGAAATTAATAAACCTCTCATTGATTTCCAAGAAAGGGATGTTAGATTATTCAGATGACTGTAAGGCGTATGAGAAAGTTAACTCTTTAGGAAGAATTACGTTTCATAAATGATTTAATGACAGAATAAAATTATATTCACGTTAGGCATTGCAAAGGTATACTCAAACTGCATATAAATATTGCCTTTCATGCTGGAAAATGAACGTGGAAGGAAAGTTTCATCATCTGAAGATTACATAACTGTTACTGCATAACCTAAATCTGTCTGTCAATGGCTTCCAAGAAGTATAGAATTAAAGCTTTATGTTAACAGTTTTGACAGCTAAAATTAATGGTAAGTCGAAAATGGCATTTCCGTGACATATAGAGCATACGATTATGAGAATTGTATTTGGGGAGATGATGCAAGTGTCTTTCCAACCAAAACAGATGGTGAAGACATCTTTTGTTCTGATGATAGAAGGGGCGTTTAAAGGAAGAAATTGATGCGAAGTATATTTAGAAGTATGCATAGAAATAAAATTGAAAGTTGCATTGTAGGGAGAAAGCGTTTAGGAAATCGAAAGGAACGCTTGAATACATTTACTGCATATTCCGCAATATAACGTACAATTTTAATGCAAAATATAAGATGAATATTAATGATTGTGCGTTACATATCGGATGTAGAAATGACAGATTTAAAAATAAAGAAAGATGAACTTACAAATATTAGATTTCTACATGTGCCTAAATGCTGCTTATTTGAAACAAATGGCGTACCTTATGAACTTATCTGACAACACAAAAAGTTCGTCATATTTGTCTTTAGTCATTCTGGCACATCATCGAATTCTGTTTCATCTTCGCCATCACTGTTATTCTGATTCATAAATAAACAATCATCTTTCGATCCATCTAGATTGTTCGATATGCTACATTTTTTAATGATTTTTGAATTATAGTGTGTTTAATTTCATTCCATGCTTTTATTATTCACTCACACGTTATTTCTAGACTGACATGACGTATTTGGTCACCATTTCCTTCCTTGCCTTCGGTGTTCACTATAATCACTACTCTTCAAGTGGCTACAGAAAAAGTAAACATCTAACTGCTAATGCCGTGAATTCATTGAACTCCGAAGTGCATTATTATCTCAAATAATGCCCAACTATCCTGGAAATATTAGAATAACACTTGAGTTGTTCACACTTGCGCTCAATACAACGCACCCTGTTTGCAGAATTATTTATACCTCAAGCATTTCCTTCCTACTTATATTGTTCCCATTATCGCTTTGTCAGTTCAGTATACCATGGTTGGAAAGCCTGGGAAAAATCTTTGAATAAATGAATTCGAAAGATAAGAGCATCACACATGTATCTTTCAGGTTTTTTCTAAAAGAGAGCGCGATATAGGGCGAATATACCGGAAAACTAAAACGTGTAGTTTGAAATTATAGTTGCTCGTTATATGCCGGAATATACAGTAATTTTAAGTGATGGTTAAGGAATGAATTAGACGACAGATGTATGTAAGTAATTAAGAATTATCTAGAATAATGATTCTCAATATTTTCCATTGAGGTCAATGAACTTGCGACATAATGATTTAACTTTTGAACTATCATCTTTAAAAATATTGCATATATTCACCTACTAACATATGTCAGTCACAGTCTTGGTTTCGCAATGTTTATGAATATGAGGTTTCTGTCTGATAGGCGAACACTCAAATTACCTTTAAATGCAACACATATTTTCCTGTTTATAATTCACTATTTTCATCTAAACAGTAGATGAGGGACTGGGTTTTATTTGTTCACAGGTTTTCGTTATACCAGGTGTCCCAGCTTAAATGTTACAACCATCGAGGGTAGGTAGGGTACACCTAGATGACTCGGAATCACGTAGGAATACCGGGTTGGAAATGTCTTCCTGACACGACAAAGGGCATTGAATAGTATTGGCCTATTTCACCCCATCTGTACGTAATGAATGCAACAGTTGGCCAACGAGGGATCGGCTGTGATGGTCCAATGAATTGGCCTGCTCGATTGCCAGACCTTCTTTTTGGGGCACATGAAATCCTTTGTCTACGAAACCGCCGATGATAGCGCCAAGGACCTTATAGTAGTCATCGGTGTAGTTGCAGGGGAAATCAGAGACGCTCTTGGAACGTTTGAGAATGTTCGAACTTCCATGCAGCGAAAATGTGAGGGCTGCATCACATGCGCGGATCGTTAATTCGAACACCTTTGATAAGAGTTGTACTTCCCTTTGTTACTTTTCTTTTTATGCCTACGAACAGCGAGTAATTAACACCCTTTTTCTCCTATTTTGTGTCCTTTATTTGTATTTTATGTCTAAGAAATGCTAAATGTGAAATGAAGTTTTGAAACAAGCACGCTCGAAACATCTGCCCCTATTCAATGCCCTCTGTTGCGTCGGGAAATCGTTTCGATCCGGTATTCTTATGTGATTCCGAGCGGCCTACCTCCCCTCGCAGTTTAGTTTGTAACATATTAGCAGGGACAACCTGTATAAACGTGACTTGTAGTGGAACCATAGTAGGTATCATTTGATTGTATAATCTCTTAACGTAATCTCTAACGTTAGTTTATAGAATGAAGTAATTTCATATTAGGTAGTTTTCTCTAAAAATTCTTTCAGGTGATATGCCGGTTGGTTGCTTGAATTCTACAGCATGTTAATACGATCTCTGTGACTTCTTCTAGTACAGTAAGCCTGACGTCTTATTTCAAAATCAAACTGTTGATACCATTTAAGTTTAGCTTGTTCCTGGAATTAAATTTTAAATAAAAGCTGGTTTGGCCACCAAAGCAAACCAAACTTACCTGAAATGCACATTAAGTACCACCACCGTGACGCAAATGGAGAGAGTGACTAGAATCATCGTGAACAGTAGATACTTGCCGAGTAGTGGCACCACAAGTGATGTCGGTGGTATGATTTCGGCAAGCAGTAAAAAAAAGACGGTAAGCGACAGCAGGATCGATATGGACAAGGAGACCTTCTCCCCAGAGTCCGAGGGCAGGTAGAATACGAGGACCGTCAGGAAGGATATGCCCATGCACGGAATAATGAGGTTGACCGTGTAGAAAAGGGTCTTTCGGCGCATGCTGATGTTGAAGGTGATGTCGATGTACGGCTCTTCGCAGCAGGTGTAGAACTTCTCATTACGGATGGCGGGCACGTCGAGTATGTCCCACTCGACGCTCAAATAGAACTCGCTCAGGTCGATTCCGATTTCGACCAGGTTGGTTCCTTCCACCTCGTCCTTGTGCCGTAGATCCACCTAGAAGAAGAACAGGTTTCAGATAAGTGCACTTAAAGGCGAAACTTTTATGCATTAAAAGAAGAATAAAAACATTTCTTTTGCTCAGAAAAATTATGCAAACTAGGAATGCCGAACAAATATTAATTTAGAGGTCAAACAACAAATGTTAGAAAAAAGGAATCACAGAAGTCTTCTGTTGCCCAACATTGTTGGTCCGAAAATCACACTTTCAATATTTCTTCTGCCAAAATTATTCAAGAAACATCTTCCATTGGTGAACTGGATTTTCTAGAGGCATTTCACATTCAAAAAAATCTTTCTGGTCTAGTTAAAGACCCTAATTCTAATCCAACTTTTCTTTCAGCCTTTAAAGAAATTATATTTTAGTTCTAGTTTCATCAACAGATGGCGCCAGTGGCTTATCTCCAGTCCAAGCTTTCTTATCTTATCATTATATCTTATCTCGTTCATTTGCGCTTTTGCAGCTGAGGATGATGGTTTGGTAGAACCATCGAAACTAGTTCTCTGATATTTGAAAATATAACCCTGGTTTTTGTTGTTTGACTTCTAAATTAAGTCTATGAAATCAAATTGGTAAAGAATATATGCTTATTAATATTGCAGATATATTCTTCATGCAAGAAATAATAGTTTCTCACAGACATCAAATAACGCATTCAAAGCAGGTAAATATTGTGTATAAAATCACTAAGTTTCTCTCTTTTATTTGAAAATAAGATTTCATTAGTTGTTTAAATACTAATAAAATAAAGTCTACTCTTTCATTTTAGTTATATTAATAACAGAATGTTTTTCAACTCAGAATTAATTTACATTAGAAATATCTTAGAAAATTTTCAGCTGTTATATGAAAAGAATACTTCATTTTTGATGAGAAGCCACTCACACTTTATTAACTTAACTGAGGAAGGAGCACTTTATTGGAAAATAATGATTCCTAAAAATATGCAATTCTGGCTTCTGTAGTGTTGATTACTGATGTGATGCTTTTTTGGCAGTAGATGGAACACAGAGATGACTTTATATAATACATCAATTTCATATAAACGCAATATCAATTTCAAGATAAACGCAAATCAAGACTCAAATGGAGACATACATACAAGAAAAGTAAACGTCTTACAACTTAAAAAAAAAATAATAATTTGTAGAGACATAAGGGTATTTTTTGGAAGTAGGCAAGAGGAAAAATTAGCAACGCCTTCGCCGGGAATCGAACCACAGACTTCTGGAATACCGGCCCGGCGTGCAGAACCGCTACACCACGAAGGCACGCTAGGAAGGCGGGAGAAATACCTTATAAATTAATTACTTTCTTCGCACGAGAACCGCACGCGGCTCTCGAGCCTGTGTTTCATACATTGCCAGTAACATATATATTATTATTTATCTGTTTTATTATTATTATTATTACATTATATACATGTATATTTATTATTACATTACATACATGTAAAAGATTAAATTAGCAGCATAAATTAATTTCCATTCTCTATTCTAAAAATAGTAACCCCTCTCTGCATTGCGTCATTTGGAGACTATTCTATGTCATATGATTCTTACGCAATTCTGATGATGTAAATGGAACTAAAACTCAACCAGCCAATATTACAGAAATATTAACTGTCCAATCAAAATGCTTTGAAAACCAAAACTAACTCAGTCTGACTTGAGATGTCTTCCTGAACATTACGTACTTGCTTTCTATGCTTTGCCTTGGCTAGACTGTAGTCCGTCTGCTGCTGCTCTTTTGCTACAAAATTATCAAAAATGTAAGCTTTTTGGAACAGTCACATTTAATGCGCCGACTTGTGTGTAGTCGCAACATGTTGCTAAAAAAAACTGAAGATTTAATCTGCATTGAACCCCAATTTCCTGGTCATTGCTTTGTTTTTTGTTTGTATTACATACATATATATATATATATATTACATATAAAATAGCATAATGTCTATATATGTAACATAATGTAATGTAATGTGTTTAGAATTTCTAGAATAAAGGGATAAAAGGATTAAAAAATGTGCCTGTATTTTAAAACATGACTATCGGGATATGAGCAGTAAATTACATCTTCCTGTAAAATTTGTCCTACTTTTGTTTGTAAGTTATTTTGTCATAAACTTTGTAAATTACTTAATTATTTTCTATAAGTTTTCTTTATATTGTAATAATCAAACTACATACAGTGATCAGAGCAGATACAAATAAACTCTTCATTCAACCGAATCTTCAATCAAAGAAGGTTTGCAGTGTTCTTCCCATTTCACGCCATATTTGCCATTCCAGAAGCTTATTGTATTAACAGAGGAAACCAGTATAATTCTTTGATGTAATGACACTTTACAAAAAATGCTGTAATTTAAATTCACTGAATATTTTGTTATGGAGTTTTAATTAAAAAATTGCATTCCAAGTGTTGGGTTCAAATATTTTCTCAGAAACAAATGTCTAAATTGTGAGTTCTGTGGACTAGCTGTTCCGCATGTACTACGGAACTTTCGAACTTTCATATGAGAAGAGTTTTAGCACTTTTTTCATTCAGTTATATCGTCGCATTCCATTTAAAACTTTATTTAGATTTTGATTTGGTAAATAATAGCAGTCAAAAATCAGTTTCTGATCAAAAATGCGAATCTTTTATCATTTGGTTTCTAATGGCATTACACTGCAATGGGAGTGTCCGGAATTTTTCCGTCAAAAACAGAAACATTATTGACATTAAACATTTTTTAACATGACGGATTTCAGTGAATCGCTTGATAAAAAATGATGTAAATTTAAATGAAGTGAAATAAAATGTGTCTATTTTGCAAGCTCTTCCAATACTTTCATCTATAACAACTTATTCATTATTATTAGATCATTGAAAGCCTGAAAGGATTACTCTTCCTGTGGAGAGCTCGCTTTAAAATAATTAGTTCGCATATGAGCTATTTGACGAGGAAAATCATGAAGCCTTTATGCAGCCGCTCCATTTAACCGCTGAGACTTGGATCTAAGTTGATTATAGTTTCATGAGTTTAGTTGCATGACCACTAGTCAGCTGCTTCCACACATCGCGGATATTAAAGAAACACTTCGCAAGCATTCGAATACTATATGAGGTACTTTTTCCCCTCCTTTCCGCATGTCTTCGTGGTATAACTGGAAGTACGTTCTACTGGCAATCGGAACACCCAGAGTTCAAATCCCGGCGAAGGAATTTCGGATTTCTTCAGCTTCCTGCTTCAAAAAATTTAAAAATTATTCTGGAACTGGCACTTTATTTGAAAGGTAGTGGACGATAATTTGCCCTTTAAAAGGTGGAACATATAAGGTATTTTCTTCCTTCTTTCCGCATACCTTCGTGGTGTAACAGGAAGCATGCTTGAAGTTCGGAGTTCGAATCTCCTGCGAAAGAAACTGCAAGTTTTTTTCCGTTTTTCCATCGATATAATCTAATGACTCTACAACTATGCGTAGAACCGCAGCTCCTAGCTGGTGTGTCACCTCACAGATGTTCAAGATATAGTACAACATCGTCGCCGAGGGTATAATTTTTCATGGTGCCTCAACGTGTGGCGTCAATTTAACCAAAAAGACGTAATTAGAACCCAGTTCTGCGTAAAGGCTATTTCTGCTTAGCAGCTCCCGGGGAATTAGAAGCTTACCAACCAGCGCCTTATATGCTTTAGCAGGAATTTCGACCACTATATCTGAATGTGTAAAGGAAAAGTGCCATAACGAGGGTAGTCGGGTTGAAGGAATATGTAACACTGTGAAAATAAAACGTATATATGGTAGGATTACGAGCGCTACGTTGCCTATTCACCTTGCACCAAGTTTGTCGTCATTGTTAACTGCAATTTTCCCATCGCACAACAAGCAACTGCTGTTTATACGGATAGTTCAAAAGGAAGAGCAGGAACAGGAACCGTCTGGTAACCTTGTAGTCCACGCCCTGAGGTAAGAAGCTTCACATCAGTACATCGATGTTTCAGGCTGAACTCGTAGCCTTTCAATGGGTACCGGCGCAGACTTGGTAATCTCTTGGTTGGTAAGATCTTGGGCAATGGAACAGCTGAAGACTTTGCGAAGAGATCAGCTAACAAGTTCACTGAAGGTACGCTTTCCCGCCTCATATCCTAAAGTTGAACCCAGCACTGAACTTTCTAAACAATGGTAAAACTATTGAAACATGATCATTACAGGTTGAAGAATGTACAGCATATTTTTTAATAACGATCAGAACTTTATTACCGCTGTCAGCAATATACCTAATAACTAAAAGGGCACGGTCCAAATATTTATCTCTTGCTTGTTTAAGCCTTAGAAATAATGACCTTTGCATCTGCGGTAGCGTCGAAAATTCTGATCACTTTTTATTTGATTGCATATATGCCTGTAACTGTTATGTTATAAGACCCTCCATGACCCATCAACAAGCTTGAGTCAGAAGCACCAGCAAAAACATATATGCTTTCAGTCACACAAGACATTATACTGCCGTTGCTAAGAATATAACTAACAGCCTCGAATAATTCTCAGCTATTTCCCTTCTCGAACCTCTCAAAAAAGAACCGGCAGACTGTGTACATTTGTATTTTCTTATGCATTCCCCCCTCTTCATATGGACTATATCGTACCTCGTACCTTGTACCTTGTACTACATAATTTTAAGATTTTTACACTTGCTCAATAATGTATAGCTTTGTTGTATGATTCGCCTTATTTAATACTATAATTCGTTAATATTTTGATAATACATTGTTCTGTTACACAAATTTATTAATATAAGGTAATTTTATGCCTTACTTTTAACTTTATTCATATGGAAATGCTTATGTAAATATTATCATATCCACATTTCGTTACTGCGTATTCTGCTACAAATGATTATGGTTTAGTAATAGTTTTAGTACCTTTATCATAGTGCATCTTTGAATATTGTATTTAACTATACTGTTTCCTGCCGTGCATGCAAATAATGCAATTATAAGAATTCAGTTGCTTGA